AAACAGTGCTGTAGAGAGCTCAGAGACGTCTCGATCTGCTGAAGAATATTTTCTGTACACGATGAAGCTGTTACAAGAAAGTTATCACTCGAATTCGGAGATTTAGTTTTCTAGAGTTTTGGTTTTCTGAAAACCGGCATCCCAGAAACTTTAGTGGAATATTTATATGCCACAAACCAGACTGAGAACTCCTTTAGAATCTTTCTTCAGATTTGTTATAGGTATTATCTTTGAGGAGAAAAACTGAAAATACATGGTTCATTAGTTTGGAGGACCACGGCAAATAAAAGTCGGGACAATCATATACTATTCAGAATATGATTGCTTGACGGTATACATTCTAAAAAATCTAATGTATTTCAATTTGAAGCTGGTTGAATTCTGCATTTTCTTATATCATAAGCATTCTGGGTCTGATTTTGTTTACAGCACTATAGTTCACTAACTAACTTGCGATTTGAAAGAATGTGTTATAGCTCATTCGATAGCCCTTTCAAGTCTGCATTTTTCGATATACAAACTATGCCTAATCTTAGTCTGTAGAAGAAACTATAATCATTTTTATGTGCCACTTAAGGAAAAAAATCGAGATATTGTCGAGTATTTGTCCAATACATCTATGAAGGCGCACTTTTAAAACAATGTATTATAGCTCATTGTGTAGCCCTTTCAATTCTACATTTTTCCATGTATAAACCATTCCCAGTCTGAGTGCGCTGACAAAACTATACACATTTTATTATATTCAATGAGAGTTACATATACGGAAGCAAATAGTCATAGATAATGTTTGACGAATAACTGTATCAAAACATTAGTTTGAAACGATGTGCTATAGATCATTTTCAAGCCCGTGTAATTGCGCATGTTTTCGTATATAAGATTCTATTAAGAACAGTGAACTCGCAGAGAACAATGAATAAATATGATCGAATAAGTTTTTTGGACCGATGCGCAGAAATGATTAAAAATGTCAGCATATGGTAGTCTACAACCAACTTTTAAGACGCAGAAATATTAAAAACTAAATAACGAACGGTTTCTAATCAGTTCCAATTGTTATCTTCTCGAAAATATATAGGGCCATTTTCTTGCAGAAACCGTCCCCCGTCCTTTGCCTTTACTTAAAATTGTAGATTTTTCGTTTCTGACGATCTTAAGCATTATTGGCTAGGAATACAAGCGAAAATAAATTCCTTATAATAGTCTGAAACTAAAGTTGCCGAACAACCACACAATGAATTTTGTATGAATACGGACTCGAACATATGAGCTTAGATTTGCAGTAAACTGTAAAACTAAATTCACTGTTGCTTTGAAGTTGGGGAATTGATCCGATGTTACCAGTGGCAGCTATTTTTGATTTATTGTTTTGTGTTTGTTTCGGCAAGAAAATCAACTCAAAAAAAACTCATTTACATTACCTAGATCAATGCAATAGTTTTCAATAAAAACAATTTTTAAATATTTGTTAACAGTATTATCATTGTTAATTACTTCACCAATATTATATATTAAATTAAGTACTTGGTTTCCAAATACATCATTAGGTAGTACCTATTATTACAAATTGTATTAGAAAATAAAAAACAAGAAGTTAAAAATTACATGTCTCATCTCTTTGTCCTTAGAATAGTAATAAAAGTATATTTGCGCTGAAGAATACTGCCTGTATTATCAATACTGTAAAGTAACGGAGCATCAATACTGTGTGTATTACACTCACTGTGCTTTTGAAAGTTTTTGTTTACTACTAGAAGAACAGTTTTATATCTTTACAGGAAATGGAGGAGCGCAAAAAAATCTTGTAGTTGATATTTTCTAACATGATTGGGACATTTGAAATATACGATTTGACAGAGAAATGCAAGCACTACCCAACTGAAAAAGTCATGAAAGTAAAATTCTGATTTTAAAACTGAGTATTGCTGAAAACATGCACGACTCGGACCGCAAAGTATTTTTAAAGACCACAGGCGGAAAGAGCAGAAAAGTCTCTACTAGATTATGTAGTTCATCACTTGAAATTATTTGGAAATAGGAGTAACTGACCTCAGTTACTTGTGAGAGTGGGCCACTTAAGAGAGTTTCGAAGAGAGTATCAGAAAAGCACATGTTTGACATGGACATACTTGAATCGGAAAATAAATTTGGCTCATATTATGTCCATTCGATTCTTCGTCTAACGTTACGCATAAATTCAAGGTTTTAGATCCTAATAACGTTTCGTTAAGGCCCCGCATTTGAAAAGTGAAATATCAACAATCCGGCTCTATTAGCCCCTAGCCACATGTGTTTTCATCAGCTTAAGACCAACCCGAGCTCTCCACAACGTTTCGTTACTCAGAAATCTTGCAGCTACGAACAGCCCCATTTTGGTCACTGTTGTGGCGACATCTCACAAACCATGCGGGATCGAGCCAAACAAAAAATGTCGTCACCATACTTGCACAAGATCAGCGTCTCTTAAAAGTTTGGTCAAGATCGGACTTATGCTTTCAGAGACCGGTTTCTGACGGGGGCACAATGGGCAGTCACATCATATTTAGGTGGAAAAACGAAAGTAAGATTTTTCGAGATTTGAATAGCACATCATATACTCTAGCATACGCTCTATAACTTTGCCATTGCAAGTTTTTTTCTAGGTGTCATTTCTAGCTGGAAAATCGACGATGAAATTGTTTTAGGAAAACAGAGCGGTTAAGATAGAAAATCATTTTGCGACAAACAATAGACGATATTTATTAAAATTTTATCTAGTCTAAAACTAGGCATTTCTCTCTATCCATTCGTAAAAAAATTTCTGTTTTGGCTTTTCCATGACCGAGAAAATTAGCTTTCTTTTTTTGCTACGTGTTTTCCGAAAATGTGTGCTCAGTGTAATCGGTTTCCGATTTTTTCCGAAGCTTCAAATTCAACGAATTTTTTACCGATGGTAGACGTACTGACGATACATATGCACTAATACCGCAAACTAGCGCAAACGCTCCTGGACCGAGTTATAGGTTTTCCAAAAACCCTTGGAGTTTTGAAATAAATTAGGTTTTTCTAGGTTCATTAACATTTAAATTAAAAGATAACGACATATTTGGAATCAGCGCAAAAAACTGCGTCGAATGGTGTATAATTCAGCCGTCTTTGTAGGGAAACTTTTGAATTTAGCAGATTCCTTTGTTTCTTGCATGTGCGTATAGGGATTTTGACTGAAATTTTAAAATTTTAAATTATCAACAGATGAAATCGTCTAAACACTATTTCTATAGGTTATCGATGCTTCTCTGTCCAATGCAATCGTTTTTGAGTTTTTTAAAGGTTTTCTAAGCGGTTTTCTAGAGACCGGATCTCTGGAAAATCATTTAGAAAACTTTTTTAGAATTCGAAAAGCATTCCACTAGATAGAGAATCATCGATAACCTATAAAAAACGCGCTTTTAAGTTTTCTTCTAGCTTGCAGGCCAAAAGACCACGCGCCTAGTGAAAATTGCCCACTGTGGGGGGAGCCTTAATGCGCTCTGAGTTTTTTTTCTAAACGTTTTTTTTGCATAGTCGCATATTCTCCTATCTTAGTTTTTGTGCGTCTCGACGTTCTTTGTTCAGAACGAATATCAGTCGAACGCGATAAAAAAACTGGATAAGATGTGCTATTTCTTAATTCTCAGAACTCAAAATTTAAATTAGAAAGATTCAAATCAGTTAAGTTTTTCAAACCTTATAAAATAAGTTTTGTATTACAAAAGAAGCTGCAGCAGTCAAGTCAAGTAGGACTAAAAACAATTTTGAAGCATTTTGTAGAACAAATAATTGTCAACAAAATGCACCGTTCTGCATCGAAGACTAGCCCCTGGAGAGCGCTAAACGAGCTACACGAACGATGAATAGCAAAACATGGGGAATCAAGAGGTACGCCAGTATCCCTAGTGAAAAACTTACTCGAATCTTACTAAGATCTTAGAAAAATCTTGTTAAGATCTTAGTAAGATTTCGCTTACATTTGTCTAAGATCTTAAACAAATCTTACTAAGATCGTGAGACCCGAAAATTCTAAGATTTTATAAGATTTTTCTAAGATCTTAGACAAATGTAAGCGAAACCTTAATAAGATTTTTCCAAGATCTTACTAAGATTATACTGTCTAAGATTTTTTCAAGATTGGATAAGAATCTGTTAGGATCTTAATAGTAAGAACGATGATATTTTTTTAAATATCGTCGTTAAATATATCGTGTATTCATTCAAGGTTCGCTGAAAATTTTTTAGATTTTAATCCGCATTATCCAAAGCAGCAGTTGAACAGTGTCGAAGAATGAAGAGAAATTTCATATTTTCAGGTGTCCAACTATGGACCTTGACCTTCATGTACACTCTCTAAAAAGTTGTTGAACACTTTCGAGAGAGCAAGTACTAGCAGTCTGGAAGAAAAATAACCACAAAATCAGTCATATTTTCGGTGTTACTTATATAGATGAATGAGAGCAAAACAAAGGGGTGAATGAAAGTAGAGTCATTAAATCTTATTAAGACCTTAAACGATAAGATCTTAGATTATCTTATCAAAATCTTAAAGGATAAGATCTTATAAGATCTTAGTAAGATAATTTTAAGAAGTGTCTAAGATTTTTACTAGGGATGACTTTCGTCAAACTGCGAAAGTACACTGAATTTTTACCAATACAACCCATGGATTTTTGCCAATAATTCAGTTGCATTGTCTTTTAATGCAAGTTACAAATTATTTGTAAACGAAGAAAAGACATGACTTGCAAGGAGAGACAATACAACTGAAGTCATGACTGGCGAAAGTCGACAGTTGGCGAAGTCACATTGGCGTACCTCCACGATTCCAAAACGTGAGCGAAATTTTTCTACTGGATTTCGTCTACAGTTAAGCGACTCACATTTTTAAGCTGACCATGAACACGCTATTTACTTGTACTGAAAACAGTGCTATGATGACGAAAAGTTGAAATATAGAAAAAAGTTTAGACCTTTTCTTAAAAAACTCATAGCGTATCAACCAAACCGAGGCCTAAAAGCTTTGATTTATACGTAACTTTAGTTGGGGAATCGAACAGACATAGTTGAATCGGAAAATAAATTTGAATCATATTATGTGCTTTTCTCATGCACTCATGGAACGTCTTTGAAGTGACTCATCCGCAGCCCACTCTGCATCCTCACTCCGCTTATAGTGATCAGTCGTTATGAAAGTTCCTTACCTTAGCTCGTGGACTAAACACTCGGCATTGAGAATTCTCAGCCTTATCTACCTTACCTTATCACATTCTGAGAATTCTCAAAAGAAATGTGACGCTTATCCGTTTTAAAGATTCTCCGAGAAGGGAAATTTTCTCCAGTAAAAAGAACTATTTAGAGAGTTGATATCAGTCAGAACTGCAGTCCAATGGTAAAAAAAAGAATTTTTCTGACTTTCTTCTTCCTTACAAAAAAGTGCGTTTGGAGGTTTTTTCCGCACCTGACGAATACTTATGGTAGACACTGTACATACTTTCCCAGCAAATATAAATGTTTTGGGGATAATTATACTATTGTCGTCTTGATAATCTCTTTTCATACGATTATAAGTTGTTATGATACATAAACAATTCAATAAATGTCGTTTATAATCTTTGATATGTTTAAGTTGTACATAAAACAATGATTTTACATTAATATTCTCAATACCATAGTTATTTTCTAACATAAATACTAGACGTTTTTTATTTGCCTAAATTTAAACAACTTCTTCACTAACTGTTTCTAAGAAAAATCATCAAAACATACTATACCTCTTTCGCTTGTAAGATATCATTTAGAAATATTTCATCATCTACAAAAGTTTCTATTTGTTTCATTTCACCGAAATTTAGCAACCATTTTAAGCCAATTTTCTAAACAAATAACGCAGAACATATAATTGTTTCCACACTTGTGAAAATTTTAGACTGGCTACACTCTCAAAAAAACAACACAAAAAGCGTCTTCGGTATCTCTATAAAATAAGGAGAGGCCGGTGAAGACCGTAAGTTATTTTATCTCTAGTCTCTAGAAATCTATGACGAACTCTGATGGTGCCACATTGTAGAGCGAATCGAGTTACCTATATGGAAAAGTCTTGAGGACTAACAAGCAAGGTTTCACCGAGTTATAAGAGTTCTGGTTTTGTAATCCAGCCAAAATACGGGTAATTGAGGTATTTTCTTGGTAAGAAACTATAACTCGGTGAAACCTTGTTCTTTAGTCCTCAAGACTTTTCCACATACAGTATACGACTTTTCCACTCGATACGCTATACAATGTGGCACTATCAGAGTTTGTTCAGACGAAAGTTCGCCATTGGTTTCTAGAGATTCCGAATTTGAACAATATTTCTGAAATGAGTAAGGGAACGAACGGATACCAGACTCGTGATTATCATAAAAAATTACCTATACTCAGGTATGTTCCAGATGAAAATCAGAGTGACACTTGGTGAGCTTCCCTCGTTCGTAACTAAAATTGTTTCTAATACTTTTTTCCATCTGGGAAACCCTTCAGTAAATTTTAAAAACAAGATTTCCAAATGAACTAGAGTTTGTGATGATGATTACAAACATCGTATGATGTTAGAAAGAAACATTATCGTCATATATTAGATAAAAATGTTTTTTTTTGTATGTATGTGAAATGTTTGGGACTCACACAGCACACGCTTTTCACATTTAATACATTTGGAAAATCAGCTCCGTTTCTTCGGAACTGTACAGTAGAGTTTTCAAAAAACATGGATTTTTCACGTGAAATCTGCTTTTCTCAACCTCTAAAGCATTTCAGAGCAAAATCAATCGGAAGATTTGAAAACAGCATCAAAAACTGCATCGAATAATGTATCAATCAATTATTTTCTGTGATAGCTTTTTCCGGTCACTTTCGCCTCGGCTCCTCCCTTTTGGAATTTTAGTCAAAAACTAAAACGTTTCTGAGTAGGTTTTTCTCTTACCATTATACTATTTTGAACATCTCACGAGAGAACCTCCCGAGATGCCCACTTTCGATTCAAATGCTTTGTACACGGATCGATAGACCTCAGTGAGGTAGTAAATACCCTAAAAGGATTCGGGCCCCTGACTCTTGAAGACCCGGTTTTCTGAAACTCTAAAAACCTTTGAGCTGACAATGAACAGTTAGGACTTTTCTTGTAAATTCCAGAACTTTGCAATGAAAGGTCATGTAGAGCTGGGAGAGGTCTCATTTTAATCAGAAATTTGCGGGCCACAATCATGGCTCATTAAGAAAGATTTTGGTTATTTTTTAGAGTTTCTGAAAAACCAGTTTTTCAGAAAACGGGGTCTTCAAGAGTCAGGGACCCGAATCCTTTTAGGGTATTTACTACCTCACTGCGGTTTATCGATCCATATACAAAGCATTTGAATCGAAAGTGGGCATCTCGAGAGGTTCTCTCGTTAGTTCAATATTTAGAAAAAAGAGAATTATCGAGTTGGATCACGTTTAAAAATTCTCAACTTTCGACTTGACTCAATCCAAATTTTGTAATGTCTTATGGAGATATCTGGATAGTGTCGAATTTTTTTCTGACAAGAAAAGATCTTGTTTTGAACCTTTTTACCTTAGCTATAACATCGGATAAATCTGGATTAATTTTCAATAGCCAACGATAGTGTGAAATACCAATATGGAATAATTGTTGCTTCAATGGTAAAATATTTTCTTCCCAATAATATGAAACATTAATTTCATTCATAATTTCAGCATTTCTTGGTAAGACTAATGTCAATAACTTTATATAAGACGATGGCATTGTAAATCTACTATTATATTGTTTTATATTTACAACTTTTGTTGTTATTGACCATGCATCATTCCAACTTAAATGTTCTTGATCAATTAATAAGCGCATAAGTTCAAGAATTGTTAATAAAAACATAAAATCTCTTTTATCATCATGTAGATGAATACTAGCCTATAAGAAAGAACTACTGTCAAACCAAAATATGATCTACCGGTTCTTCCATGCTATTACATTTTCTCGGTAACAGCCAGATACTCATTCGACAGCTCTACTCCTCTCTTTCTTACAAAAAGTAATTTTCAGTATGTCGATACGAATGAGAAGAGTTCGAGTTTTCAGCGTTTCCAGGCCAGGACTTTGATCTATCCTTCTATATAAAATACGCTCGAAAATCTTATTTTGATGAAGGCATCTCAAAGGATCCTTGAAAAACCAGCTAACAGTTGAAAAAAACATTTTTCAACGGCTTAGGTGTGACATACCATTTTTTGAAAGCTGACATGTAAGTACGATAAAAACATAGGCTCCGGTCACACTCAATCTTCTGACAATATTTGTTTCCTGGAAACAAGAAGTTGAATTTATGTGAAATAATCCATTTTGAACTATTATCAACTAATATTAAAAAATTCGTTGTTCTATGAAAACTAACTCAATCGATCTGAAAACTATAGAAAATATTTAAATTGGACTACTCTGTTTATCATTTAACATGAAAATTAGAACAAGTTTAAAGATCCTACAGAAACAGTGAATACAAAATAGTGTGTCTTCTGAAGTTCTCAAGCCGTTATGATTTATTGTGATGCAGATATGAGTTTCAATATTAACTGAAAATAGTCCGAAATGGATTGATTATTATACATAAAATCAACTTTCATTAGGCTTCCAAGAAACAAATATTTCCAACAGATTAAGCGTGTTCGATTACCATGTATTTCTCCTAATGGGACAAAGTTAGGTAGGTCCCAACCAAATGCTATAATGAAGGACACCACCACATCTAAAGAATGTTTTAAAGAAAGAGATCGCTTTTCTAGTTTTCTCTACAAAATGGTGAACACTCTAGCTCTTTTCGTTCTTGTGATATTCGAAAAACAATCGAGAGGCCTTTTTATCATGATGACCGAAACCTTTTACATAAAATGTCGAGCGCTATTTTCTATTTTTCCACTATTCTGAGAGCTTCGTTTTCTTCCCTGAAAAGTAAAATCTAAACCACAGAACACACAGCAAGCAAATCTTTCTCACAAAATGTTCGAAGCCTAAATATCGTTAAAAATGTTCGCGTAACTTCTCAAAAACTCTATATCTTTTTGGAAACGCCTTTTTCACGCTAAACAACAGGTTTGAATAGTGATTGATTATTATATCTAAGAGTCTCTGCAACGCTCTTTCGAATGGTGTGCAATAAGTTTCATCTTCATTCAGCTTTTGTGTAGAAAACATTGCGTCGTCTAATCACCGTTAAAAATCAATTATTTAGCATTAATCACCAATTTTAGGACTAAAAGTGGAATTCTTTTTCAATTTTCGGACTAAACCTTGAACCTCTATTTCATTTTCTACAAACTGATATAAAGATAAAATCTAATCTTAGTTACTTCCTGCTCCTGGAGACGTCTTTCCGGAAACTCTAAATATAAGACGCAGAAATTCGATTCCTTTGGAACTTGATTTTCAGAGAATGTTTTATAAAATCGCTAGAATAACCGGAAAATTTTTTAAAGAGGTCAGATCGAGTTTCCCGAGCTATTTTATCATGTATTTGGTTCCAGTTAAAGAAGGGATTATTTTTGGCACTAGTGAAACGATTTTCTTGTTATGTTATTAAACTTTTCCCACAACATTTTGGTGATATTTAGACTTTGAACTGTTTTTGCGGGAAAACTCTGTTTGATGTGGGTTCTATAGTTTACGCGCTGTTTTTCAAGCGGAAAAAAAACGAAGTTCTCAGAATAGCGGTAATATAGAAAAATAGCGCACTACATTTTATGGAAAACGTTGCGATCATGGGTTAGTTAAAGATTCTCTCTATTTAGAAAGCTCAGAATAAAAAAGACGCCCTAAAATGTTGTAATTTACAACAGCAATATCGGTCAAATCAAAGTATATGCAAGAGTTTGCTTGAGTCCTACTTAGAAGAAAGCTGTTCAGACTACAAAATAAGACGTCTCCTAGTGCTGTAGCATATTTCCTTGAACAGCTATGGACTTAAGAAAACATAACATAGTGACGACTTCGACAGAGTTACGAGCTAAGAATCCTTCAAATAACATCTCATACAGCAGATTTTGCTGTAAAATTGGGTGACTATCGATACTCACAATGTTTTCTCCGTCACCAACGTTTTTTACTAGCAGGATTCCCACGGATTAAAAAAGGCTATTTTCTCTCACAAAAATTGCAAAATGTCTGCTACAATCGAATTTAGTCGGGATATCTATCTGGTCATTCTGCTGTACACATATATACTTTATTTGGCAACAGATTAAAATCTTTTGTTGTTGTTTCTGCTTTGAATTGCGCCAAAATATCTTGAATTGTAGCTGATATAAAAAAATAATTTTGCTTGAGCTGGAGTAAATCTTTATCTTTATCGTGAAAACAACACTACAAGAATAAACAATAGAGAAATAGATAAATATAAAGGGTCTAACAAGAAATGAGGAAAGTAAATCACAGCATACCATAATAATTTGTGGATGTAAAGTGAGGTGACGAGATTGAATAATTAACTTTTCTATTTCTCTCATATAATTATCATCACTAACTAAACAAAATAAACTCCTCATTGGCTGTTTTACAGTGCCTCTCTATAATAAAACTTAAAAATTCTTGATCGGGTACACGTATTTTCTGTCTTTTTCCGTAATAAGACACATCCAGGATGAAACTCAAGAAAAATTTCAAATCGTTTTACCTAGTTTAGATTCAAATTTTCGTTCAATTTTCGATGTCCATAAGCGTAACGTATTTATCCTCTGATTATAATAGCCAGGTATCAGTGAATCAAATGCCACTGCGTGAATAATCTTAAAATTGAATAAAAGATATATTAATTTATGCACAAACAAAAGTAGCGTCAAAATCCGATTCATTCTTCCTTTCTACTTACCTCGGTATCAATCCACTGCTTTTCAACAGTTTTTCCATAAAAATGTACAGGATAAATTATTTCTGATCGAATAATTTCCCATGGATTCTGTTGACCAGTCAACCAATCATTTAATGTTTCTTTCTATAGGTTGAAAAAACATTTTTCTTTGTTTTAATATTATGACAAAAGCTTTTTAATGTCCATCCGTTGTATGGAAGAATGACTGTAAAATCCCAACTGCAGAAATTTCTGAATCTTCAAGCTCCTTCAGTATCTTACATTAGCGTCTATCTATTCTCAATAGGTTTACGGAACCATAAAATTTGGATTAATAGATAAGTGTTTGTAAAAGAATACAGTAATCATTAACAGTTAGCATCTTAATTGATTAACTAGCTATCATGGGTATAGAGATCTAGAGGACTTGATACATTTGCCGGATATTTTATTATGGGAAAATAGAATAATACCATAATGAATGTACTTGAGCGAAGTACTTGCGCAAGTACTTTGGGTTAAGCAATGAGGACAGTACTTGTGGATTTTTCCTAATAAATTTACTTGACAAGTACTTGAGAACGTACTTGACAAGAAAAATGTAAGTACTTGCCTAACACAATGTTAGTAAATTTACTTCAAAAGCGTCAGTCAAATACTTATTCCATTTATTTTCATTTTGTACATATTCTGCAGCCATATTCTACTTTTGTAGAGCAAATACATACACGGCTACTACGTTTGTTCAACTCAGTAGAAATATATAACTTTATTTTGTAAGTGTATAACAATTGATATTGTGGTGCTTATATACAAGTGGTCAATGGAAAAGAAAAGGGTGCCTGGCTTGTCCAAGTACTTGGCTGAAGCAAGTCAAGTAACGACACTTCTTGATCAAGTACTTGCCACGTACTTCCCAAGTGCTCATCAAGTAATCAAGTATTTGGTTTAAACTTTATTATAGAAGAAACAGTAATCAAATCGGGCTGTGCCCATTGCATGACACTGGGAGAGAGGAAAAGATACGAAAGAAAAATCAAGTATTTGTACCAAGTACATTCACTAGAGTAAGTTCTAGGACATCATGGTCTATATTTATAGACAATTCTTAACAAAATACTTATGGTTGTTCATTTAATTTATAATATAGTATTATAGTAGTTGTATACCTGACATCCATCTTTGATCTGTTGTTGAAAGAAACCTAATATGAAAAGAGAAAGTGAATCATGCAAGTGAGGTTTCATCGGACGACTTCATGATTTTCTCTACCTTGATCGAATCGTAATCCATAACTCATTGTCGCTATATTCATATTTGCCAAGGACTGAATTATACAACCGGCTGTATATCCAGTTTCATCAAATCCATATGCATATTGTTCAATATCAAATAATTTCTTATAAAAATGCCAGGCCATCTAAAACAAAAATAAAGCTTCACAAAATTATAATGGTGTGCGTTACAACGTTCAAAGAGACTTTCAGCTTGGTTCTTTAGAGACCGGGTCTCTAGAAAACCCACACATAAGTATTTTGGATCTTTGTTAAGTGCACGATTGAACAAAGCATGTCTGAAAACCTATAAAAAAGTGTTTATAGTCTTTTGGACTGCTTCTATGGCTAATGTCATCCCTCAAGAAAGAGCGCAAAAATCGGAATTCTGTTAGTAATTCTCAATTTTTTTCATCAGGACTCAAGTTTTATGCAATAAAAATATCATATTCCGAATCAGCGTCACAAATTGAATCGAATCGTGTAATTCGTCACGATGCCTATCCGACTACTTTGGATTTTTTAAATTTTTATGTAGAAAAACTGCTGAGATTTTCATCAACAAATGGCAATCAACATATATCATTCGATTCAATTTGTGACATTGATTCCGAATATGATACTTTTTCTTGCATAAAACTTCCTGATGAGTCCTGATGAAAAAAATTGAGAATTACTGGTAGAATTCTGCGCTCCTGATTTAGAAACAATGCATTTTTCGATGAGCTTTATTCAGTCATGCCAAAACGAATGAAAAAAATTTTGCTGTAATTTTGCGTTAATGGCGCTCTACGTGTAGTAGGAACTGCCCAGATTTTGTCTCCGTGGTGATTAGATTCTTAGTCATGCAAAATGCTTGTAGTATGCGCGTACTTGCAGTCCTCATGCGCATCCCTCAAGAAAGTCAAGTGCATGATACCGGAAAAAATGCATTTTGCAGGAATAAAAAATGTCTCCACGCCAAGGCATGTTACTTAATAACGTCATACGCTGAAGAAAAAAGGCTTCGCTAGAGTGCAGAATTACCCTACCTTAACTATTCTAGCTCGTTAGAACAAAAGAAAGCAGTTGCACCTTACCGCATTTGAAAACCGGCGGAAGAGGCAATAGCCCTTTCGTGCTTCTTCCCCTGGGTGTCAATTGCTGCTTGTTGCCACTTCCAGAAGTGGTAATAGCTCCTTAGTGACACTTACGAAAAGTGTGAATAGCTTCTAATTGACACTTAAGAATGTGGCAATAGCGCCTAGTAACCACTTTCGTAACTGGCAATAGACTCACCCAAACAGAAAAACAAACAATTATTTCTTCTAGGTAAACTTCATTTTTTCAACTAAACAGATCATTAAAATATTATCAACTTCGTTTAGATTTATACTTGATTTACATCAGTTACGATAGTATCAACAGAGCTCGACTGTCTTTCTACTGCAGTCGTCGTCGTTGATACAGAATGTATTTTTTCGAATTTCAACTTCTTGAGTTAATACCAAGAATGTTTGAATCCAGTTCAATCCAGTCTATGGTCTCAAAAGTTCGAATAAGAATTTTTCAAATCGTATCTCAGAACAAATAACGCGTCGGAGACTTTAATCGGTATATCGGCTTGTCCACGTAACCCAGCCAGAAAAGGTCAGTTCGTTACGTTTTGAAATAATTAGGCTTCACAACGAAATAACGTAAAAGCCTGGGCAATGTCTTATATTGTAGAGTAAACTGTGATCTTTGATATGACAATCAAATTATGAGTTGTACAGGGTTGACATCACTTACTATATGGAGAACTTTTACCGAGGCTGTAGGACTGTTAAAATGGCTTACCAAATATGCCGCTTGATAAATATCATCTTCTATACCTAAATTTATCATCATCATTTTCAATTGTTTTCCCATACAAAATTCTATCGATAAAAAGTATAAAGTCTATAAGATAGAAAAGGCACTAAACAGAAGTTTTATTCTACGTATGACGTTCAAAAGAACTCTTGATCGAGATAAAAGTGTGATGACATACTTTTTCATTGTTATTTAAATTGTCTTGTTTAGATGCTTGAATCCATTGTTCAACAAGACAATCACGAACAGTATAAGCAAGTCCAAAATAATAATCATTCATTGTTGTATTATTCTGAGTTTTTCTTAATGTAAAATATAAATGATGCCGAATTGCTTCTTTAATCTTTTGTACATTTTTTAATATTGCTAGACAATATGGAGAATTAGGATCATTTGGAAAATGTATGAAAAGACCATCTGGTATAGGTCTAACCCATATAGCATCCTATTTACGAAAAAAAAAATACGGTTTATTCTCGCAAGAGATTCTTCATTTTTAAAGAACTCTCATTAAGGAAACTCTAAACATGTCAGAGGGTGAAGAAAATCAGATCATGCTCGGATCGACTGGGACTTTCAAAAGTTCGATTTCGATCTTGCTTCCACTTTTAAAAGAACTCAATCAAATTACTAAACACAACTTTTGTTGTATTTCAGAAACCCACAAACACATCCAAATTATAGTCTGAATTAGCCAGTCAATAGAACTCGTCGAACTGAGTGTAGAAATACCCCAAAAATTTCGTATAGGTGTGCTTTGTAAGCGTACATTTTCAATGAACATCCACAAACACCCAAAAACGTGTGCCAAATCCATCTGTAGGTTCTTCTGACCTTTATAGTTATGTCATATCGGCAAGGATGAATTTTTTCAAAAATCCTTAAAAATGGTTTTTCCTGGTTGAAAATAGTAGTAATACATCTAATATAATCTAGAGATGAATTTGGAACACTTTTTTCGGTGTTCGTGGATGTTCACTGAAAATGTATGCTTAAAAGGGACACCTATAAAAATTCTTTGGGGTGTTTCTACACTGAGTTCGATGAGTCCTATCGATTGGCTAACTCAGATTATAATTTGGAGGCGCTCGCGCTTTTAGTAACACCCCCCGCCATAGATATTGAGCATGGAATAGTTTCCTTTATTCTCTACCTTGCATACTGAAAATCACACTTATCATACATAACGAGATTCTCCCAGAATAGCATTTACATATTCAACGGACT